TCCTCCTCCACATCACTCAGACTTTTATCTTCCTGGAACCCAGAGCTTGCGAAGCTCTCGCTGCTGGTGACACTGGCCAGCCTTTGTTTTTTGCCTTCCACCAGCTCAATATCCTTTTTCTCTTTCATTGGCTCTCCTTGCAGAGAGGAGTCCTTCAAACAAACAGAGGAGAAGAGGTGCTACATCAGAGCGAAGGAGGGGGTGGGAGAGGAACTGAGTCAGACTTGTGTCGCCTTTCAGCTGGCAGAAAATGCTGGTCTGTGGCACGTGCGGTCACGTCTCCCATGGGTGCGGGTGTCCAGTGCCACTGTGGCAGGCAGGGATTGGTGGCAGGCCTGTGCTCCACCAAGGTTGCCATCCCCAGAGGGCAGAAACATAGTCACTTGAGAGCACCAGCACATGATTTTGGGGCAACCCAGCTGGTGGGCTACCTCTGATATGGTGAGGATTTGCAGGGTCCATGGATGGACACGTCCACTGGGCTGTGGCTCATCTCAATCTGAAATAAGACATCTGAAAAGGTCTATTTCTCTCCACTAGCCAGAGAAGGAGCATGGTGGGATGAGTTGAGAAGGATATGCCCACAGTGCAGGTGTCCCAGCCCTCTCAAACTAAGGTGTCAGCTTTACATCCCAGGCTGCTTAAGGCACCTGCCTCTGTGTCCCTGCACAGTGCTTGGTGTGGTGCTGTAAGCCCTTGCAATGAGAATCAAGGGCACTTTGTGTCTGAAATACAGCTGCTGTTGGAAGGGACTGCCTCTCTCCCTCGGTGCCTTTGTCCAATGCTTTCATGATGGTTTAATGGGACACATGCAACACTGTTTGGAAAATGCTTTCCCACTGCTACCTGGAGAGCAGCCTAGCTGCCTGGCCATGCTCTTGCCCCCTCTTCCCTCTCCTCTTGTCCTGTGACTGTCTCTCTCCCCTGCACACGCTGGTGCAGAGCCAGACTCCTTCTCTCCCTCTTGCCGGGGCGCCCCTCCCAAGGGTGCTGGAGCACTGAGCCTGTGCAGGCTCCTCAGCAGGGGGGATGTGAGTGACTCCCCCCAGGGTGGACCCCGCACATCCATATTCCCCGCTGAGCATCCTACGCCAACAACCGCATGTTCAAGGAGGTGGCTGCTGTATCTCATGCAGACTCCAACACAGACAGTCTTGGGAACAATGACTCAGCCAAAACTCTTTGGAGGGAGACATCCTCCTGCGTGTGACCTCCTGCAGAGTCCTCCCGAAAAAACCCTGAGATGTTGCTGAGCTTTTGGCACAGCTGAGCAGGGGTTTTGAGGACTGCTGTTCTGGGTCCAGACTTCTAAATCCCACTTCAGAGCCCGAAATCCTTTGGGGGATTTTGCTGAAAGTCCACAAGCAGGGATATAGTTGGCACATTTGGGTTCAGGTTTGTAATAAGAAACATGCTGTGGGTTTGATTCAGAGGGCTGTGGGATGCGAGGACAAGACACTAATCTCTTTGACTCTTGGTAGACCTTCTCCTCACACAATAATAAGATTATTTTCAAATCTCTGAATATTAGGGTGTCTTGGAACATGAGCTTTAAATGGCATTATTTCAATTGTGTTCCCAGCGGTACTGAAATCAGTGGGTAAAACCACTTCCTTTGGCTTCGCTGACACCAGCCTCTGAAGTGACCCCAAGCTCAGTTCGTCAGCAGCGGGGCGAGAGCATGTGGGGACACTTTGGATAGCATTCACTTCCTCTTGTTGTAGATGGCTCCATCCAAATTATTCCCAGCAGTCTCCTTGCACAGCCAGGGGAAAGAAATTAGTCCTTTCTTGACACAACACACCATACACCAAATATCAAAACAGGTCAGGTGAACTGCGCCCAAGAGCTGTTTCTCTCCTTTGTCAGAAGAGAGTTTAAGGAGACTAGCTCAGAGGCTGATATCTACATTACCAATGCTTATGTCGGGTAAGACGAACCCTACCAGACGCATCTCCCTCCTCACCTTGTTAGGGCAGAAAAAATTCCTCTTGCTCTTTAGGTAGTTTGATAAATTCCCATACTTGCAGTATTCCACAATCACCATCAGAGGCCCTGGGCAAAAGGAAAGTGTGTTTTGAGTAGCATAAAGCAATACAAGGCAGCATCAGTTCTGAGAAGAAGAATAGTCTTTCATGCCCATAGCTATAACCTGTGTCCAGAATAACTAACAATATGTCCCAATGAAGTAGAAGCCTGCTTGAAGGACACTGGACATGTTAGCAAAACAACACTGTTTCTGGAAATTAGGGAAGGGCCTAATTTTTGAAAGCTGGGTCATGAACCTGGCTCCTGAGGGACCCTCCATTTCCTTTTCGGGCAGTCTGTGTTCAGACTGGAGCCCCGCAGCCCACACACGCTTGTTGAATTAAAGTAGGTGACATGTCTACAACAAACGATCACTCATACTGGCCCTTTGATTTTCTTAGTGGAATATCATGAATGATTTTAAGGAGTTGCCTTGCGATTCACTGTTCAGGGCCAACAACCGATATCCCTTGTTCCCATCCTTTCCAGATAAAGTTTAACTTGAGCTTGAGCTGTAAAGTGAGTGAGATAAAGGACAAGAAGTGGCATGGTCCTAAATTCACACTTCTCATGTTTATGTTTAAAGAGAGTTTAATGTATGTAAAAGAGTTTTATGTAAAAGGCAGTTTAATTTTTTTTACTTTTAAGTAAAAGAGAGTTTAAGTAGAGAAAATTTTTAATCACTTGATTAAATGACTAAAAATCTCTTTTTCTCTTCTTTTCACCAACCGCAAGATGAGCTCCAATATTTCAAGTTAATAACTTGACTTCTGGACAAAAAACCAACATGGCCAACTGACTGTTATTGGGACATGATCCAAACCCATTTTCAGTGCAGTGCAGGTTTTTTTACCTCCATTTTTCGTGCAAGCTCCCAGCAAATTCACAATATTGAGATGATGACCAATGTGGATCAGGATTTTCAGCTCAGTCATCAGTGCTTTGTATTCGCTTGCTGTGGCCCCTTCTGTAAACACAAAATAAAGCCAATGTGAAATGGCAAAAAAATGGTCCTGCTGAGCTTTATCACTTCTTGTTACTTTCTATTGAAATAACCTCCGTTACTGGATGTACTTCATGTGTTGATGATCTTTTTCTATTCCTCCCTGCTCAGCATCCTCTTACTCGCAATTAAACTCATAAAAAGAGTTAGGCACTCAACTTCCTTCCAGTAGACTCTGTTATATTTAGAACTGAAAGAAATTTTTTTCACATGAATAGTTTTGTCGTTTCAGCCAAAAAATGAAAGAACAAATAAAAAGGGATTTCAAGAGTATAATTAACTCTATCTAGGGTATGTTTCAGCTGACCTGACTTCAGCTGTCTAAGGGTAATGTACTAGCCTGAACTAATTAATGTCTCAAGGAGTCAGTGGAAAGAGCAAAGCATTTCCAGAGGCTGATGGAGCCATCAGCTTTAGCCATCTGTGTAGTGAAGAGATGAACTACCCTTTGGTGAGGATTGTTTGGTTCTGTTTGTTATAGAGGAAGCAATAAGATAGACCAGGGAAGTAAATTTTAATTGGTTAAAGTTAGGTGACTGCATCTTACCCTCAGTAGTTATGATCCATAATAATAATAACAGTAACAATAATGATATAAGGAATCCCGCAACTAAACCCAAAAGCTTCTATTTAGTGTTGAGTAAAACTTATAATTCCCTTCAAGCACATTTTTTTTTTCTGCAGAATTTTATTTTGCTAAGAAAGCAAGAAAAAACATACTGTTTTGTGTAGACCCAAAAGGACTTTTTCAGTTGAGTAACACCAAGAGTAAGAAGCACAGTCCAGTGGACAGAATCTAGAGCTACTTCATAAAGGGTTTGGTTTCAACATCTGAATGGAAACAGATTTTCTTGATGGCCCCACACAAAACATGTCATCTACTCACTGACCCACTATTCATCTGTATGGTGGTGACACTTTCCCTTCACCTCATGGGAATTCTGTGAGGACAAAGACCATGAATGACAGCAAAGATCCTGGATAATCTAGTGAGGACACAAGGAATGGGGCATATCTCCCCTAACTTTAGATGCCCATGGTGAGGATCTAGTCACCACAGGCTCTCTTCATAGTCAGCAGAGCTGAACAAGCTCTCAGCTCACCATATGCAGGTATCTTAGGGTGGGATGAACTGTTGTTTCTCGCCACTGACAATAAGGGGAATTTGAATGACCAGCTCAGATACAAGCATGTACCCTGCACACGCACATATGAATCCCACCACGAAGACTTCTTGTAGCTGCCGTCTGCTCCCATCTATTCCAGGAGCGACCTCTGCTGCCTTAACGGTGCTGGCTGGCACAAGAACCCTGCTGTTGTACATAAAGAAATGTTGAATCTGGCAGACCACTCAGCCAGCACATATGTCTGCATGTTGGCAAAACAGCTCAGTTCATCAGGGGTCAGGTGGTGACCCAGGTGACAGGCCACCCACTGAAACCTGTGACACAGATGGCTATTGTCCCACTGCTACAGAAGGTCTGGACAGGGACCAAAGCTTTAGTTCCCTCCCATTTTCCAGACGTGCTTGCTGCAGGGTAGTTGTTCATTTGGTGTTGGCTGACAGGGTATTTCTGTGCTTCTGCAATAAGAGAGAGGAGAAAGGTTTGTGACCCTCCAGGTGCAAATTCCCTCCTTGGGAATGATCCTGGATATCACAGTAGCACACACCACCCCCTGCTAAAGCATTTGATACTACATTGCAGAACAAGCCTGTTGAGAACAATATCAAGAGGGCACACCCTACATGGAGTACAGTTGCCAGGTCATTGCTGGCAAGAAATAGAAGCTATTTCAGGTTGAGTGTTGCAGGGACAGACTGTAGGTCTGAGAGTATCGCACATGCCTCTCCAAGGGCTGGAAGTAACATGTACAGATCTCCTGATAACTGATAAGCAAGTATGCAGCTGTGAAGCTAGGAGCCACTGGGTAAGAGGGATGTATTCAAACTATGCCTGAACACAGCCAACTGACAACATCAGGGATCCAAGCCTTACTGGCAGAACAGGGGATGTGTCCTGGCAAAGAATGACACTGAAAAGGATTCAAGGATTAAGACAGATAAGCAATGCAGCATAAGCTACCAGAGCAATGGAAAAAAAAAAAAAAAAGCCTTATATGATCCTTAGATATGATATATAAGCAAGGGAAAGCTAAATATATAGGAAAGGATGCCACCAGGACTCTGGGTTATGGAATTCAGCCACGACTGCTGCAGGCTATGACTGAATATCATCCTGCCTGCTAACTTCCCCAAGCGCCCTCTTCAAATTGATGAGGGTCTTTGTTCTTTCTGCTCCAATGAGAAAAGTGGCAGTGAATAGCTGGGAGGTGATTTCACTTTGGGAAGAGCACTAGCAAATCCATTACACAACATGGATATCAGCATCCTAAACACCATGTGATGAGTCTGCAGGCGGTTCAGAAAGGACACAACTGCACAACAACTCCAAGATTTAAACTGCTCAATCTATTTAGCTTAATAAAAGGACTGATTGAAGAAAAATCATTATATAAACTAATGGAGAAGGTTAGAATGAGAAGTGAAAGTCAGACATGCAAATTAGACATAAGGCACATGTTTTTAACAATGAGATGATTAATCATTGGAACTAATGACCAAGAAAAATGTGAAAGCTTCTATCCGAGTGTCTTCACATCAAGGATGCCTTATGCTTCAGTTAAATTTAATTTACAGTGTTCAGTATAGGGTCAGTCTAGCATAACAGTACAACATAGGGTTACACAGGAAATCTGATTGCCACTTCTGGTCCTATAAAAGTGACTCTTCCATTCTTTCTGGCATTTGAAGTAGTGGAACCAGATTTTAAAACAAATTGGGCAATCAGGTTCTCACTGTGTCTGAAACTTTCTCTGATATCATGTGACAATTTATCACCCGTTTTACTGTGGACGCAATTTTAATTTCATAGTTCTGCCATTTCACTTGTGGTGGACCTGAAACTTGTTGTACACATTTTGGAGGCTTCAGAGAGTTATTGGTGGGGGGATAACATCACACAGTTTTGCTTTCAACAGAATCATATTAAAAGTGGGACATAATATAAGACATCATTTTTTCCAGCCCAGCTTTGCAGCAAGATACCTTTCAGCATTTTCACAGCAACTATTCTGCATGTTGGTGATTTCTTAATTCCAAAAGCAGATGCTTGTACCACCTTTCCAAAAGCTCCGTGTCCAAGAGATTTTCCTGTAAAGAAAATAAAATGGAGAAATACATCCTAATAAACAAGAAATCTTGTCAGCAAATGCCTTCAGGGATAATTAATTGAAAAAAGTGCTTTACAATGAGTCCCACATGTATATTTCCAACATATGGGTGTTTTAGGTTTTTTGTTTGGGATTGTATTTGGGGGGGGATTTTTTTTTTAAGAGTAAGCAGACAAACCAGAAGAGTCATCAGAGGGAATAAGTGATACAACTGAAAATTATGCTAAATGAATGCAACCATTCAGTGACTGACCCAATTTTTTCAGTCTAGCTCTGCCAGAGGAAGATTTGCTCCTCTTTTCCCTGAGCACACTGCACCATGCAGCAGGCTGTGACACTGCTAGTTATGTCCCCAGTAACACAGGGCCTCCACCTGAAGTCACACACACAGATGCAGCTTGCCATAGACTTTGGTAATTTTTACAAATGGAATTCTTCCTTCTCAAATAAGTTGCCTTAAAATTATCTTCATTCCAGGGAGGCAGCAGCAACTTCACATTGCAGCCCCTGGAGCACATGCACAACCCCCTGATTCTCTTCCTTAGCAAGCCCTTGTAGGCTGAGATCATGGAGTGGTGACAAGCTGCGTATCTGTGCAAATGAGATCCTTACATTTGAGAAATGAAGTCTTGGGAGATCCAGCAAGAGAGGACTTGCAGTGGCAAATCATGGGTTTGCTCATGGTGGGTGTGATGCTTCCAGGTGTCCAAGGGCAATTTGTGCTGTATCATCATCATGCTGCTACTGAGCAGACCCCAGGAGAAGAACCCAGAGGTCCTTGAGATAAATCAGTGGGCATCAATAAAATTCTCCAGCAGCAGAATCTGAGTGTCCTCTTTCTTCATGTTCAGAACCAGGTTAATTTCTCCAAGGGTACACTTATAACTTTTCTAGAGTGCCAGTCTTATGATCTTCACAGCCCCCTTCATGATTTGTTAGTGTTTGAAGCAGGGAGTATTGACCACCTCTTTGTCACTGTGCTTATGTGGACAGGCTTGTTTGCCTTTGCCCTTCTCAAATGGCTGGTGGAGTTTTGATCAGAAAGATCTTGTCAGCATATCAGCTAGCAACAAATTTTATTTCCAGGTAACTATTTTCAGATTGTATTTGTGCTTCTCCTTCAGCAGAATCCAGTCACCTAAGTGGCTAGCAAGAGTATAGCAGCAGGCTTTGTGGTATAGAGGAGAAGAACAGAAAATATAGGCCAGCTTTCCATATAAAAGCAAAGGACAATGTGCCATATATTTATTTCTCAGATATGCACGTGTGACATAGCCATCTCCCTAGGACAATTTCCTTTTCCTATGATGGACATCTGTTTGACTAGCTCTCACTTGGACATCTACCTTATTGGTGGCTAGGTCAGAGAAGAATCCCACCCAGACACTTGCAAGTAGAGAAAAAGAGCTGCTGTCAGTTCTAAATTAAATAGTTACTATCTTTTATATGTGTATCACATTTCTAAACTGAAATTCTCAGTATGTCTGTTAGTAGAAGCAAACAGCATATGTTATCAAAGCAATGGAACATGAAGTGGAATATGCTAAGCCAAAAAACCCCCAGAAATTTCTTCCCCCCTAGATGTGCAAAAGTATTGCATTTTTTACAGCAAATAAAACAAACAAACTTAATCTGCATGGCTGAAAAGCATCAACAGACTGAGCCTTGGTTGTGAAGGGCTTAGTGTTTGACACACAAATACAGGTGAATCAGCAAATCTTTGAAAATCTACAGTCCCCTTTTTCAGTTAGTACATACATCTTCTTCATTCAGTGGACGTATAAGAGAAGCAATGTTAAGACTAAGGTCTCAGATTTTTGGTGAATTGATGTTCTTAGTCCTTAATGTATTAACTGTTCATGGTTTCTACACGTTGAAGTTGCAGTTTGAGGTCCTATAAAACCCATTGTACCTTTGTTTAATCCATAGCTTTAATCTCTTTCCATCACTGTTAACTCATTTCCCATATCAAGATAACCTACTTAGTCACCACTTGGAAAACATACCAGTTAGCTCATAAAGCTACACAAAGCTGCTAACCTTTCATAAAGGAGAATGAGCACTGGAAACAACACTTCCTTGTGAAAACAACAGTTGTGATTTAATGGGAAACTGTAATATGACTTGATGTATTAGTCTTTGTTGCTCCGCTATTGTTTGTACCATGTTAAATGTTAGCATCGAATAGGGCTGCTTTAACTTTTCAGTGTATAGATCGAACTCCACAGTCTAGTATGTAGACTGTGCCTATGACTCTAACAGATTGCTCTTGCAAAAGCCTCTTACGTTAACACACAATCTAGTTACAAAATTGGTATGAAATGAAATTCAGGTATGAAATGTTGCAGCATTTACATCTGGACCAAGGAAGAAAAAGGTCCTACTTAAATCTTCTGCACTTGACTTTGGTTTCTTTGGGCAACTCAGAACTCATTAAAGTGAACATATCCCTCAGTCAAGGAGTTTTGAATCAGGAGGTTTCAAATTCAGTCCCGTTTTAGCAGGGTCCTTCAAGCATGTGAGTTGCTGGACTGGGGCATCAGCAAAAACCACTTGCAGACATCGCTCTCCATGTCTGTGGGAAGGCAGAGGCTTGAAGGTGTGTTTGTTTCTCAGGTCCTTTGCCATAGTTTGAGTCATCATGGGTTTTCCCCACATGAGGCTTCATATTTTCCATTACGTTACGTACAACAGCTCTGCGCGTGAAGGAGAATGGAAAGCGCTCTGCTCAGTGCCAGCGCTGTGGGCTTGCAGCGCACAGGAGGGAGCAGGGCTCAGGAAGCTGTCTACCGCTGTGTTTGACGTTGCCCCGGAGCCATGTGGCAACACTCCCTCAGGGTCCTGCACCACAGCGTCAGCAGTGTGTGACCTCTCATAGATTAGGAAGGTCAAGCCCAAGAGTAAGGTGAGAAATGCGTGATAGCTCAACTAACACTTACGCTGGACTGCAATGTTATCACCGACGACACCAACAGTGATTTATAGCACCAGCATTTTTCTGCCTAATGAAAAGATGACATTTTGCTCTCACTCAGACGAATCTATACTGAATGTTAATTATCCTGACTTCAGTGATGCACATACAAAATTTCCTGTAACATCTGTAGCTCTTACAGATGAAGGCAGAGTCCTGTTTATAGGGATTGCATCAAGCTGTGGGCAATGTGTGTTGGAGGAACACATTGCAAAGGAGATGTGGGCTGAAAGGAGAGACTTATTTGCAAAAGTTACAATAAATATGTATCCTGGAGGATAAGTAGGTGGAAAGAGAAAAACAGACATATCTGATGCTGGAAGGGGTTGCATTTCTAAGTAAAAATATTTTTAAAAAACCATAGAAGCACATTTTGTGTTTGTGAGACACTAATCCTCAGAGACTGCCAATCTTACTCAAAGACTGAGCCAACTGCCATGTAAGCAGGACTTGCACAGAGCTAATCTAACATACTGCACATACCCAAATTCTCTGAATCTGGTTCTCATTCATTGTCAGCATTCTTTATTTGTTTACACCAGTTCTTCCAGTTTTAACTCATTCTCCGGTCATCATTCCTCACCTTCAGACTCCAACCACTAACCCTGCAAGATGTGTGTTTCTCCTTGGTGTTTACATTCCATTTCTGCTTGATCCTTTCTGTGGGATTTTCACACAAATAAAGCATCACATAAAACAGCAATCACATTGTCTGCACATCAGGCTCTTGGTCCATCATTGTAAGAAAACTATTTGAAGATTGAAGACACTCCAGCACAAGATTATGTTTCAGCATTCCCAGAATTGTGTATGACAATTAAAAATCACTATCAATATATTTCAGCTGTGCTTAGCCACATCTGGTCACCTTGTGACTTCCAGCAGGCGAATTAAGTGTGATTCTAATTGTACGCATGTTTTAATCACCCTCTGCCCCTGATCCCCGGAGGACAGAAGGAATCTGTTACAGCTCCTAGCTAAAATACAGGGATTTTCTAGACCTTGCTGTTGGACAAATGTAATGCATGCCTGAAAGAACAAACAGTGCTATAGCAACAGGCTGAGCTTATCACTGATATTTTAATGTTGACCCTTTTGCTAAAATCTGTGTGGTTTCTGGAGGGATTCTTCAACTTCAAATTCTAGTCCCTACCCTCCTGCCCTCCTCCTCAGCCCCACACTAGGCTAAGCAAGTAAGGAATGCTCCTAAACCCACGCCTTTCACTGAGACATCTGTGGGCGAGCTAGCTGTAGGTTCAAAGTTTCCATGGATATTTATTTATGCATGGACTCGTGTTATATTCCTTCACTTTATGGTGCACTGACAAGAATGTTTATAAACCTGCAGCACAGGGGGAAAACGGGGAGTGTGCTGGGGAGAGGAAGAAAGGGAGAAACTGTACAGCATGGACTGTGAGGACTCATTTCTACACAGGCTTTTTTTTCCAAATGAGTACATAACCAGGTTACAGGGGGAAGAAAATTATAGAAAATGACCAAGGTCAGACTCCTGAGTCTAGAGAGGGCAGCATCCAGTCAGCAGTCTGATTTGGAAGCCTTTGGTTGTCCTGGTTTTATGTCATGTTTTAAGTAAATCAGCCTGCAAAAAGTAGAGTTCAGAATTCTTGTTTGTATTATCCTTCTATGACAAGGTGACTTGCTTAGTGGATGAGGGAAAGGCTGTGGATGTTGTCTACCTGGATTTTAATAAAGCCTTTGACACCATTTCCTACAGCATTCTCCTGGAGAAACTGGCTGCTCGTGGCTTGGACAGGTGTACTCTTCACTGGGTAAAAAAACTGGCTGAATGGCCAAGCCCGAAGAGTTGTGGTGAATGGAGTTAAACCCAGTTGGTGGCCAGTTGCAAGGGGTATTCCCCAGGGCTCAGTACTGGCACCAGTTCGGTTTAATATCTTTATCGATGATCTGGGTGAGGGGATCAAGTGCATCCTCAGTAAGTTTGCAGATGACACCAAGTTGGGTGGGAGCGTTGATCTATTAGAGAG